ATATATATATTATAATCAATATTCTAAATCTTAGTCTTTCGATGCATTAGTTTTCAAGGTTATTACAATTTCATGGATTTTCAAAACAAGATGAATCCTTTATGGTTTTGATTTAATTACACCCCTATATATATATATATAATCATCTTTCAATTGAGAAATTGTTATACAAATATTTATAAAGGTAAATATTATGTTACCAAATTGATTATCCGTAATTTTGAATGATTATATGTTTCATTTAGTTGTCTAACGACACCAGGAAATGATTGTAACTGGGCAGGTAACGGTTATACACTCTGGTCTAACACCATAATCAAGTTATTTTTGAAAGTAAAACTTCATACGGAAACCTCTTATTTGCATGTATACAAACCAGATCTCGAGAAAACTTTGCAAATGTTGTATTTCATAGGATGTTTGTGTTCTTTTTATGTCCCCTTCAAAGCCGTGAATCAATTTGTTCAGTGGTAGTAAGATCGTCGGTGGTCTTGACTTCTTTTGTTCCTTAATTTGTCTGGTTTAGTTCGGTTTAGTTTTGTTTCGTGCTAGCTTGTTTCGAGGTAGTTCTGTTAATACCTGCAGAATCAGTTGACAGTTTTTTYTGTACGTCTTATTGATTTTTAATAAATTATTTATCTTTCAATTAAAAACATTTAAATAAGTAAATATATGATGGTGGACAAAAGAAATTAAAAAGAAATTAATTTAATATAAGACGCCAATAAATAATGAAATGATGTTCCTTTAAAAAGACGTTGGTCAACATTCAGACCAAACTTAATAGAAGAAGACGTATATGCTTCTTCAAAGTCAAACAATATTTTAATTATGATTTATGCCACCCTCCTCTTCCTCCATTCTTTACACGTTCTACACAAAATCACATTGCTATTTCTTGTTCTCATTTGGTGAATATATATATATATATATATATATATATAGAATTGGCATCGACCAACTTGTTTTCGTGAGACATGTAAGACCATTTACACTTGGAATTTCACAACAAAACGTTGTAAAAGTAATATTCACAGTGTTTTTGCTGTGAATGTTCGACTTTTTTTTACCTTCACATATGAAACTCAATATATATATATATATATATATATATATATATATACCATGTGAGAATAACGATAACATTTTTGAGCCTTTGGATAAATTGATTTTTTAATCTAATTTCATTTTTCCTTCAACTACCTAGTACCTTTAACTACATTCAACCATCTTCACTTTTTTTTCCAGGATTAGTCATTTTCACAAACTTTTACATTTAGGGATGGCAAAAAAAAAACCGAAAACGATAGTGAAAACCGAAAACCGAAACTTTCGGATCGGGTTCAGGGACATCTTATCGGGTATTGGGGACATATTTGAGGATTTTAACGGGGACGGTGATCAACTGTCCGGCTTGGCCCAATATGTTTATATATATTAATTTTAATTTGTATGCATACATATGTGTGTATATATATGATACATTAAATTTTAAAAGACTTTTATTCACTTTACCTCAACAACCCAAATAAGGCTCACGAGAAAATCTAGTTTATTTGTATAATTGTGAAATCGTAATGTTAGTTGTATGATTTTTGAATTTTTGTTTCCTTTTATATTGTAATATAATACATTGTTTGTAATTGGTTCGATTATGTTTGAGACATTTAAACTTACATCTTTAAAAAATTGTAATTTACTTTTAGTTGTGAAAATGAACATATTGTAATTTTTTTAGATCGGTTCAGGTTTCGGGTTCGAGTACAACCAACGGTGGACGGAAAAAAAAAGAATTTTTACCCTTAACAGGTTCCCCAACGGGGATCAGGGAAACCGCGGGGACCCAATGGGGATTCCCGATAAGATCCCCAACGGGAATTGGGGCGGTTATGAGGACGGTTTTAGTTATTGGTTTCGGGGACGGGATACCAATAACCAAACCGAATCCGGCCCGTTGCCATTCCTATTTACATTAATAAATTTGTTAACAGATGATAAAAATAGGTAAATAAATGTAGTTGAATAAAGATGAAGGTTTTGTTCTTACATTCTCATCATCACTGTTATTCTTATCTGAATCCAACCCTACGCATGTATATATATATATATCTATACTACATATATAACCATTTACATCAATATCTTAAGTACAAGTCCTAAAACATAAGTTACAATGGTTTTATGCAAGTAATTCAAAAAACTCTTAATTACCAAATATCATGCATAAGGTACAACTTTTTTGTGCAAGGGTTTTAAACCCACAGCTCCAAAACTTAATCGGAAGCTTTCAAACGTGCTTTCTCCCTTACAGTCTTCTGCACATTCTTATATCAGTGTCTCAGCGCTCAAACAAATTTGGGTATAACAGAGATGCTTTCTTCCTTGACTCACCGGGAACAGGTTAACATTGTGGTTTTGATGTATCACCTCGAACAGATGTCCAATTTGCTTTCTTCTCTCACAGTCTTTAAGAACAATTTCATGTATCAAACCGATACATATCACTCCCTCCTCCATGATGTTTTAATTTCACAGGTTCTTCAAAACCCTAGAGATTTCCATTTCAATTTTAATTTGGAGGTATGTTCTTCAAAACCCTATTGATTTCGATTTCGATTTCAATTTTGAATAAGAGAAGCCATATAAACTTGAGCTCTTTCTTGTACTTTGCATCAAAGCATGTGGTGAATCTATTATCATCTAATATAGAACTCTTGTGTATCTTCTATCATCGGAGGGGACTGAACTCATGTTCGCACCGTCTGATTTGATCTTTTCTGCCTTGTTAGGTTTCTCTGGTGATCAATTACGACCTTCCAAATAACCGAGAGCTCTACATTCATCGTATTGGTCGATCTGGTCATTTTGGACGAAAGGTAATTTAAGAACTATTTTTCTCGAGTTTCTACTTCAAACATGATATATTGGGATAGTTGGAGTAGAAGGCTTGTAAGTCTTARAATTTATATTGGGATAATTTTAAAAATCTTGCAGTTAGGGAAATTCTTGATTTTAAAGGAAAGACATTGATTGATTGGTTTTATAATATAACAGAGGTTGTTGAGGCCAAAGGCCWGCATGCTGACTTGGAGGASTTGACAAAGAAAATACAGGTGTAGTTTTTGTATTACCTTGTATTCTTATATTTGGAAGCTTGAAGTGCTATATTGACAGATAGTGTGACAGCTTTCAGAGATAAACTAAAATGACATTGTTCCATTGGCTGTGGTTTTTCAATTGCTTTGTTTCCTAGCATCTTTCTYKGTATCATATTGTTGCCYGTAAAAGCTGTACATACTCTCTGTATCATATGAAGCCCATTAGCAGCTATCTACTTTTGAAAGCTGACAAATACCCCTTGAGCCTAAACCCAACTAATACCCCTTGGAACAACAAGTAGACGCCTGATTTTCGTAAAAACTTAAGAACCATATGCATTTGAGGTTAATTTATTCACAACACAACTGTACAAGATTGGAAGGAGAGGCACCATATAGGAAGTGTGGTTACCTAAGATCCACACTGCATTCTGTTTGGGACTGCATCATCTTGTGCAGAAAACAACCACCAAACAGCAGGTATAAGAAAGTAGGTCATGGTAGTATGTGCTTGATGCAGCTATTGATCTTTTTCTGCAAATTAATTACATTTTATATCAATCTTCAAATCGATTCTTGTTTTTTTTGCCTTCAAAATCCAAGTATGACGATGGGAGTAGTATTTAACATAATCTTAAAGCACCATGTTCATGAATCATGATGGGATCAAGATGAAAAGGCATGGAGAATCATTAGTATTTCAAGTTTTCAAATATGTGCTAGCCTCTTTCAAATATACATGCATCCCAGGTCTTGATTATAAACAGATTCTATAGTATGTTCTAAACCCCTGTGCCAACACTACATACAACTATCTTCATAAATTGTTMACACATACTTGAACCGTGCCTRCTGTATATGTAGTATATGGTGGTACATATATATCTTTCTGTTGATGTGAGCATACCAACAAAGGTCTCATGTGGAACTTTCTTATTTTTGGTTCTGTTTGGAATTGTTCAACTACTAGCTTCTCAAATACCCCACATTTTTCATAGAAAATGGCTCTCAATTATTGCTGCAACCATGTCCTTCACCTATTCTGTTGCTGTCAAAATGAACATATTCTGTTGCTGTCAAAATGAACATATATATGTTTACCTGAATTTCACATTCTGTCTGTGTTGTGTTGTGTCCTTTATAAATTGGTCATGTAGTCCCTATGCTCTCAATTTCACTACAACGTTCCCAAAATAAGATAAAAAAATAGTAGAGAATGATATTTATCACATATAGGAGGATGATATTTCACCCATACTCAAGTAATATGGTTTATTTATCACATATAGGAGGATGATATTTCGACAGGATGTTTTTGATTCCTTTGTTAATTAAGCTAAGCTAAATCAAACCAAAGGAGCCAGTTTATCCACCCGGATTCATACGATTATGAAGTTGAACTACTTAAACATGTTTGGTTGCTTGCAGAACTGCTGTCTGATGACTCCACTAGCAAGGTCTCAATGCTATACTTTCTGTAATAGAATCCATGCTGTGTTTTATATTTTTCAAGTTCAAGTTGAGGCCAATCTGCTGCTCTTTTTTCGTTTTGTCTAATTCTGTCTCAAAGCATGTGATTATAGTTGTTCATTGTAGTCATCGGCGGGTTCACAACAAAGGGGTAGGGGGCACAGGCCCCCAACAAATCTTAGGAGTAGTTTATTTGTATTTTTTATTTTGTTAACCTAAAAACTATTAATAGGCTCGGAAAAAATAAAAGTTAGACTCAATTCTAATTCTTGTCATCTCATTTAGAACTCKTACTTGAAGGAGTCGTTACTTGATCAATTAAACTCTAATTCCTCTAACTTTAAGTGTCGACCCGTTAAAATTCATTTTAAATCTCTTGTTTTGTTTGCTATAATACTAATGAATAAATTATTTTTATTTAATTAAAGTRGACTTTTAAGCCGAAAACCGAATAACCCAAAATCGTATTGGTTCGAAAGAGTTATTCGGTTTCAGATTTTTTTTKACATCCTTAAAAGGTGCCCCCAATAATAAAAGTTTCTGGATTTGCCACTGATTGTAGTCATTGTTCTTAACTTCTAGGGTGGTCATTAAGTATTTATCTAACCCTCATGGATTACAGATCGTCTACTCTGGAGCTGTTCTKGAGGTATGCATGAGGAAGCTTTTGTTTTATCCAGAAATAGTTAGTTTCATAGAAGATGAGAAGGACAAGTTTCCTTCTGTTAAAGTGCACTATGCATTTAATGCTCCACCAAAGTTGATCATGTTGGATGGTGCTGGACAACGTAAAGAAATCATAAGGTGTGTTTGTTGTTTGGTTTCATATGCTTGTCATCGGCCAAAGCATATTATGCATATGGTCAACAACTTGTCGAGTATAAAGTGGATACTTTCCTGTAGTCGGATAATGATGTTCTGCCCTTTAGAACCTGTTTTCTACATGTCTTCTCATACTTATCATCAATAGATCAGTTAGTCGGATGATACACAATTACCCATTAGTGATGGACAAAAAAATAACAGCTGAACTTGTTACAGGTATCAACTATGCTGCTTGATTTTGCCATCCACTTCAACTCCTCAATTCTTTTTTTTTTTGGACTTCTAATCATTATCTTGTTTTTCGTTTATTACTGTTTGTGGGGATGTAGGCAGGTGCTGTTGTGCATTGCTGCCATGTACTGTTACTTGTTGACCAAATTGGCTTTTCAGGGGTTTGATGTGATCTGAAATCACCATGCTTCTAGAAACATAATTAATTTGTGTTTTCCTTGGGGAGGAAGCATGACCTATCACAACTTTCCGAATGAGTAGGAGTGCTTTGGTAACATTTTATGTAATAAAAGTATTTAGTTACTTAAAAAGCAACTTCATTTTTAACATTTTTCATGCCCAAAAGGAGCAAATTGTAAAGAAAGGCTTAGCAGAGTGTCCAAAGGTGCAAAAGATAAAAAAACAGTGAAGAGTCCTTTAAGAAAGTTGTACAGGTTGTGCCTATAACTATGCTACCTTTGTCTTGTTGGTTTGGCAACTTTTTTAGCTTATATATATGATGTTTAGTTGATCTCTCAAATGAAAGTTGACAGTGTTTTGCGTATTGCTAGAAAATTTAAAACCAGTGGAACTTTAAAATCGTTAAAATTAATGGTTCCCGCCGCATTGCGCGGGTACACAACTAGTATATATATATATATATATATATATATATATAATTAATTAATGTGTAACGAATGGAAAAGGTTATAGATCCACCTCTAAGAAGTCCCGATGCTAAGTTTTTATAGGCTAAGACCTCGTTAAGAATTGGGCCCACAAACATAATAACGATCTTAAGCGATTATTTTCTTCATCAAACGTATCATTTAAAACAAAGAAAAAAACCATAGAGTATTAATGGTGGAACCTTTAAGAACTCCAGTTGTCATATATTTATCATATTATTGGCATCGTAATAAAGTAAGAACCTTAATAAAACTCTCCAATGAAGGTTCTTACAAAAGCCTTACTTTCCAAATTTTTATTTAAACATCTGAGTTCTAATAAAAACTTGTGAGTAGACAAAAACCTATGCCCCAAAATAAATATTTTTATGATAAAAACTTTAAGAGGAACCTCAATTGATTTCCTAGAAGTATTTATGTCAATATGTTACATATTTCATGACATTAATTTGTCTATATGCACATCTTAATATGTAAATATAAAGAGAGAGTCAAGTTTATACGAAAACAGTAATTAAATAAGGAAAAAAGAAAACGCTCGAATCACATATGATTTTACACTAGAATCACGTATAAAATCAATATGATTCACGCAACTTTAATGACCGCAACCTGAGGTCCCGAGCCACGTCATGTGCAGATCTTTCCGTTGACCATTAATATAAAATTACATGTGATTTTGCATGTGATTTGACTGTTTTCTTATTATTTTATTTGAATACTGCTTTCTCTCTCTCTCTCTATATATATATATATATATATATAGATATAGAGAGAGAGATATATAGATATATAAAGACCAATGTGATACCCTACCTGTTAAGACATCTTCTCTCTTTGTGCAGGAGATGATGATCAATTAATCTTCTAATCTCATCATTCTCATTTTAATCAGAAATGAAAGTTTGTGAATTATCAAAAAATGATTTTATTTTTGACATTTTTAGACTCAAATAGTCAGCGACGGAAGACCCCCTTAGCGACGGACCAATGAAGGAATTTTCCCTCGCTGATACTCTTCATTTTTGTAGTGAAAACAAATAACAATTTGTTAGCCAAGTGATTGGTTTTCGATACAAAAGATTAAGGGGCTATTTAGTTTAAATTAAATTGTTTATGTGGACTAATCTATCTGTATAAATTAAAAAAGTTTTTGTTTTGGGAAAGTTTTTCATAAATGGAAGGAATGTGTTATTTAATTGGGAATGACAAGTTTGGAAAATACTTGTCTTGTGCATAAAGCTCCCTCTATAAGGTTACTGAATAATTAAGTCAATATCAAACAGTCTTCTATATATAACTGACTTTGAGTTACTGAAAAAGCTCCCTCTATAAAGTTACTGAATAATTAAGCCATTATTAAATAATACTGAAATTTGATTAAATACACATGGGATAAATTTACATAACTTTGAGTGCGTATATATATAACACAAAATCCTTTTATTCCATTCGCAAATAATACATAATTAATTACAATCAGACCTTGGCCAAATACGAACCAACCCTAATTAAAAATTAATAAAACCACATTAAATTATTCATGTAATACTAATAACATGCATTCCCTTTAGCCATGTATGAGTTAATTAGTGTATATATATATATAAAATTATTAATTATATATAACGATAATTAAATGATAACCATAAAAAAGTTGCAAACATGTGAGAATCGTTATAAAAATGTTTTTTTACATTATCTTTTTTGATCAAAAGCTATGATTTAACATATTATTTCATATATGTTTGTGTTCACCTTATGAAAAAAAAATTGAATGTGAAACTTTTTTTTATTCACTTGGTAAAACAATTAAAAATTATTCGTATGGAGAAACAAATACATGTGAAACTATCGCAATATAAAACAATATCTTAAATCTTAGCATTTGATTGAAAAAAGTCAATGTAAAAATCTATTTTTTATATCAATTCTTATGGGATTTTTAACTTTTTTATGGTTCTGGTTTGATTTAATCCTTTATTATATATATATATATATATGTATATATATATATGTATATGTATGTGTGTATGTAGGCAGCTAATTGTTTGAAGCTCCATTAGACCCCATCATCATTTTCCGGTTAGCGATGGCTCCAACGGAAACCACCGTCAATGGCGGTGAAGAAGCGGCCGTGATAGCGGCACCACCACCATGGCGACCTGCGAAAGCTTTTCCGTTGTTGATGACGTGGTTGACGGGAACACAATGGTTTCCACCATTACCAGTGTGATTGCAGCTATTTCCAGGACTATGACTTGGCGTATGATCAAGCGATGGCAAAATCATGAGTTCCAAATTTGAAGGTTGATTCACCATCATCAACCCACTGCTTGCAATTCCATTGTCTGGTTTCATTATCGTCAACAATAGCATCAGCGACGCCATTGCTGCAACTACCATCAAAAAGCTTTGTTTTTGCATGCTTAAAGTCTGTTTCTTGTTCACCAAGCAATTTGCATGCAATCTTTTCTTGATGCTTGTTTGTTTTGTAAGTTTTTGTGAGGATGAGAATTAGGATTAAGGTATTTATAAGTTGGTGGATTTGGGGTTAGGGTTTAGGGTTCCATGAAACTGAAGTTGATCATGACTTTGAATGTTGACCGGTGGAAAATGGTTTTAGTCGTATAAAACATGTATGCATTTTCCATATTATTTTCAGATGATTTATGAAGTTAATTTAATTTGACATTAATTACTAATACCATTAAAAAATGAATCAGATATATCTGAATTGAATCTTATGGGGTTATTTCATTATGGGGTTATTTCAACTGACAATAAAACTTGGGTCTGTGAAAATTCTCCTGAGAGGCCATCTATTCGAGTAGGCCATTTGGGATTTTTCTGGCTGATCTCACTACAACAAAATTGATTTTATAGAATTATAGGACACCTAAAATACAGAAACATAATTAGAAAAAAATACACAAACAAATATATATGATTTTTGTCCTAGTTGAAGAAAGTGTTGAACCGAGTGATCCAGTAAAAAAAAATCTAATTATAGAGCGTGAGTATAGTGCAATGAGATAGTGAAATCTGTCATAACAGCACCAATGGTACTAAAAGTAGGGTCCTCTTAACTATTGTGCCATGCGGTTGTGACGTTTGTCACAATAGCACCGATGGTACCAACAATCTGGAATCAATGTAATTCTTAGTAGAAACGACTGTAAAAGAGCCCGAGCCATCCAAGGATCACACCTACCGATCTTTCTAATTAGAGGCCACGACCGACTGTAAGCTATGCAATGAGGCAGATCGTTGCGCCGGTTTTGCACCCCCGGTTCCCTTCGGAAAAAAATGTATCCGACCATCTCCTACCTTTTTCTTACAAAAAGAAAAAAAGGATCAACATCTTTACATCTAAGATGGACAATTTGCAGGTCCATTAGGTTCTAATAAGAACTTTTAAAGTGA